AATACCTCAGTCTTGCATACTGTTAGACTCCTGAGGACTACTAGATATTTAGAAAAGTCTCCAATAAAAGTAGGGATCAGGCTGGGCCTGATGGCTCATGCCTGAATCCCAGCTCTTTGGGAGGCTGAGGCAGGCAGATCACTTGAGGCCAGGAGTTCAAGACCAGCCTGGCCAACATGGTGAAACCCCATCTCCACTAAACATATAAAGAAATTAGCTGGGTGTGATGGCACATGCCTGTAATCCCAGCTACTTGGGAGACTGAGGCAGGAGAATCACTTGACTTGAACCTGGGAGGCGGAGGTTGCAGAGATCATGCCACTGCACTCCAGCCTGGGCAACAGAGCAGGACTCCATCTAAAAAAAAAAAAAAAAAAAGTAGAGATCAAAACAAAAACAAGTACACATAAGATGAAGTTCAAATTAGAATTGATGGTAAAAATAAAATAAAGATTTAAAATATTCTTATAATTCATAATCTCAGGAGTGGGGAAAGAAAATACTATATCACTTAAACAAAAAGTAAACTATAAAAAAGATCATTTGACAACAAGAAATAATCCTTGAAAATTAAAATTATAAGAAAATAAACTAAAAAAACAAATTCTATAAAATGGGTGGAGGAAAAACTTGAGAAATTTCCTAGATGATAAACACTAAAGAGGAAGAGGTAAAAGAAAAAGTATAATGATAATAGAATATCAGCCCAAGAGCACTAGGATTTCACTAACAGGAATGCTAGAAAAAAGACAATAGAATAAAGATATGAGGAAAAATAGGAAATAAGTATAAAAAAGAAGTCTCAGAAGCTAAGGGTGTGAGTTTCCTGTTTAAAGCTTCACATTGAATGCCTAATGGAAAGAATAAAAATAGACGTAAAAGACACCTCACTGCAGAATTTAAGAATTCTAGGAAAAAATACAAGATCCTGAAAGTCTCCAGATAGAAAAATTGAGCCTCAGACACAGGATCAGAAATTAAAATTGTATTGTGTTTTTTAATAATTATGTCATCTGGCAGAAAGTGCAACTCAAATTCAGAGGAAATCTGATAACAGATCTCAACTTTTGTACTCAGTCCAACTATACTTCGGGTACATAAGAACAATACAACTCTTTTCAGCCAAATTACTGAAAACTGTTCTGTCTCTTTTGCTCTCGCCCATGCATCTTGTCTTTGTTGACAAAACTCTCTTAAGCAAATTCGTGTGCTTACAACTAAATGTCTCTGAGTTACCTTTGACATCATTTACTAGCTAGAGAATACTGGTACCTCCACTTTTGTGTAAACCTCAATTTTTTAAATCGGTATTTGAAGTCACTGATTTCTTTTAAGCTAATATTTTACTCTTTATTTTAGAACATATTTCCTCTTTTTGTAACTGCAAAACTTCCTTTTTCTTAGCCTCCCCCAAAATGTCATTAATTATTTAGTACACTGTACTGTCTGTTCCGCATCTTTGACATTTTAATGCTATTAACACTTAATCTCTTCTTGTGCTGTCATCAGTGATCACCAGGGTCTTTCAGAGAGATCAGAAAGCAGAAATAAACTATCCCTGAAGAAGAGGTAAGATTAGCACATAACCTAGCAAAAATTAAAAACAGGTTTCAAAATTATGAAACGTATCTCCATGTAAGGTAAGTTAACTGCCTGATAGTCTTTACATGAAGACTACCAACATAACAGGCTTTACACAAAAACCACAATGTCAAGGCATCTGTAAACATAAACCATAATATCCAGCATCTAATCAGGAATTATCCAACACGCCAAGAAGCGGAAAATATGAACTATAACAACTAACTGTGGAAATTTTAAAAAAATACCATGAAGTGACAGAAATGAAGAAACAAGCATACAAAGATGTTAAAACACTTTTATAATTGCATTTAAGTATTGGCTATGTAAGCACATTCTTCTTTTAAAACTAAATATTAAAAAACCTTCCTTTTCAAAAACTTAACGACACAAACCACTACTGAAAACATATACATAAATAAACATGAAGCCCCTCCATTAAGAGAAATATACTTCTATGCAATTATTGTCTTTATTATTCACCTCCAGGATCTCAAAATTATGTGTCTGTCTTGGATAAATTATTGTGTCAGACTTGGATATGACTTGTGGTCCATCAATACACATTTAAATTTTAATTTAAGCACTTCTAACACAGAGAGAAAATATAATAGGATAACCTTTGTTAAAAAAATAATAACATGTATAGGCCAGGCACGGTGGCTCACGCCTGTAATTCCAGCACTTTGGGAGGCCTAGGCAGGCGGATCACGAAGTCAGGAGATTGAGACCACCCTGGCTAACACAGTGAAACCCGTCTCTACTAAAAATACAAAAAATTAGCCCAACATGGTGGCGGACGCCTGTAGTCCCAGCTACTGGGGAGGTTGAGGCAGGAGAATGGCGTGAACCTGGGAGGCGGAGCTTGCAGTGAGCAGAGACCAGGCCTCTGCACTCCAGCCTGGGCGACAGAGCAAGACTCCATCTAAAATAAAAGAACTGTGTAATATAAACTTTAGTGATTTTAAATTCATTGACTAAGTCTTCACACTGTACATAACAAGGACTTGTTGCCCTGATACTGAAAAGCCAGTCCTTGATAACCCAACCTGGGGATGATATTGGTGAAAATGATGGAGTGGATCTGCTTTCACCTCTTCTATTCAACATTATGCTGGAGTTTCTTACCAAAGCAATAAAACAAGAAAAAGAGAAAACAGACTCAAATAGGAAAGGAAGAAGTGAAACAATCTTTATTTGCAGATAACATGATCTTGCATATCATGTCGTCCTAAAACACTCACAACAGCAATAAAAATTAGAGGTAATAAACAAGTTCAGCAAGATTACAGGATACAAATCAATATAAAATATTAATAGTGCTTTTACAGACTAGCAATGAACAATCCAAAAATGAAATTTAGAAAAATCTTTTACAATACCATCAAAAATAAGAAAATAAAGAATAAGTTTTATAACAGAAGTGTAAGAGTTATTCTGTGTACAATGCAAACCATCTTTGAAATAGATTAAGGAATATCTAAATAAAGGAGAGATTCTGTATTTATGGACTGAAAAAATTAGCATTACTCAGTTTGCAATATTCCCAAAATTGATCTGATGAATCCTAGCTGCGTTTTTTATGGCAGAAACTGACATACTTATCCTAATTTTTTTAACACTCTACATGCTAGTAAGTTTTTTTACTTTTATACAACTAGATCATCAGTCATATTTCTTTTTCTTTCTTTCTTTTTTTTTTTTTTTTTTTTTTTTGGTGATGGAGTCTTGCACTGTCTCCAGGGCTGGAGTGCAATGGCTCGATCTAAGCTCACTGCAACCTCTGCCTCCAGAGTTTAAGCCATTCTTCTGCCTCAGCCTCCCGAGTAGCTGGGATTACAGGCCTGTGCCACCACACCTGACTAATTTTTTATATTTTTAGCAGAGACGGGATTTCACTATGTTGGCCAGGCTGATCTTGAGCTCCTGACTTCATGATCCGCCCATCTCGGCCTCCCAAAGTGCTGGGATTACAGGCATGAGCCATGGCCCATCAGTCATATTTTTCATATGAATAAAAGTCTACTTTTTAGTGAAAAATGATTATTCTCATTCTGGAAAACTCTTATAGCCTAATTATAACATTCAGCATAGCATAACTGATTTGGTAATTCAACATATAATTACTGAGTGACTGTTATGTTTCACACAAAACTAAGCGATGAAAATAAAAATAATAAAATGTGAGTCTTACCCTCAAAATCTAGACTGCATAACTGAACTACGGCATGGATTTAGAACTCGGTTATCACTCTTAAAATGTACTAGTTATACCTTTGGGAGGCAGAGGGGGGCAGATCACGAGATCATGAGATCGAAACCACGGTGAAACCCAGTCTCTACTAAAAATACAAAATATTAGCTGGGCGTGGTGGCGGGCGCCTGTAGTCCCAGCTACTTGGGAGGCTGAGGCAGGAGAATGGCATGAACCCGGGAGGCGGAGCTTGCAGTGAGCTGAGATCACGCCCCTGCACTCCAGCCTGGGCAACAGAACCAGACCCTGCCTCAAAAAAAAAAAGTACTGGTTATGCAACCACCTGCAGATAATAAAACCTCTAAAAGTCAGTTTTTCATGTATAAAATGGAGATCAAAATGTAGTAGGTATTGTCTAGTCACATACAAACAGTTAAAACAGCCCAGAAAAGGGAGAGTGTCATGGCAGTCTTAAGAGACAGACGTCAGTGCTCAAGCCTCATCCACGGTCAGAGGTTGGTCTTTATACTGAGGAATCCCTAAATGCCACAAAGCCAGGATCTGTTCTCTAGTTATTTAACTAACCTAAGTTAAATTTCTTGGATGAGGGGTAGGATGGGATGATTGCAGTTTAGATTAATTCTGTAGAATGCACTTGAGTGGGTATGGAGTAAACCAGTTTTTCCATATGCAGATTTCCAGTTAATCTACTGGTCATAAGCTACTGGATCCTGCCATTTTTCATATCTGACATTTCTGAGTTCTATGTCCTATGACGGTTTCACAGGTGGCTAGGCTCTCCTCCATTATTTCCCTCCGTATGGTTTTGGCTGTATTTTTCTCTCATTTAACTACTTCATCAATGATCACATCTCCATCTACTCTCCATTTTCCAGGAATTCATTGAAATTTTTCATCAACTAAGAGAACCCTGAGCCTTTCTGTGTTATTGTTTTAGATTTACACATTTTTATTCACTTAATACAATTTTGGTGGAATTTTAGAAGAAATAGGAGATAAAATCTATGTTTGCTATGTTGTATTCAATGGTAAATTTCTGAACACCTCATTTTAAAATTAGTTTTTATTTCTTTTATGCCATTATCTTGAATTATTTTAACAGAGTTATTTCTATTTCTTAAATATATATTTTTTAGTTCAGAAGTCCTCTGCATAATTCATGTTTTACCTCAGTTTAATGTTAATATTATAAAGCATACAGGAAAGCAAATAGCTTTCAGAATATTTAAGGTACTATCTAGAGATGCATTTCAAGAAGAGGATAAAAGACCTAGTGCCGCTTTCTGTGACTTTCATAATAAAATCTCTTCTTTTTCTTGTTCTGCTTCCCAAACAGCTATCCTACTTTGGAGAAGATGCTGGATACTCAGAGTTTCTGCCAGAGAATATATGCCTGAACTAAAAGAGGAAGTGGCCTATAGAAGAAAATGATGAGCTATCTTCTGTGGTATTAATAAAAGTTAAAAGCATTTCAAGTTTAGGCAGAAAACTAACTGAAAACCAAGAACCTATTCTATGGTTAGTAATTTCTTTCATGTCATACAAGTATTCAGGAAATCTGCTACCCTGATTAGTAAGACTGAACACATTGGTTTTGTCATTTATTCGTGGAGGAAGTCCACCACCCACTTGGGGAGCAGAAGGAAATCTGCCATCTCAATTTACTTAACTTACCAGAAGTTTCTTTGCAGAAATATGACTGTTCCTTCAGTGGGACATCATTTGTGGGCTTCTGTCTCTTTTTGGTCTATGCGCTGGCTGGAGATGTAGTCTATGCTGACATCAAAACTGTTAGGACTTCCCCATTAGAACTCCCATCTCCACTTCAGAGATCTGGTAAGCTGGATTTAGGGTGCGTTTTAGAATTAAAATTTTACTAGTAATCTCCTTTATTTCTATCCTGTGTCTCTATTTGCCAAACTGAAAATAGGAGACTAGATTCAAAGCAAAATTCATTGAATGTTAATAAGAGCGAATGTTTTTAATGAAGCAAAATGTCTGGTTCATAAAATAAATTGTAACTTCGATTTTAATATGTAGAACTTTGCCTCTGTTTTCGCAGCCTTTCTATTTCTTGATTTCTTGTGATGAATGTTTATATTCACACAGCAGCTTCTAGCGGGATCACCCCTTTCTGCTCTATAGCTTTGCTCACTCTCAATCAAATCTGTCCTTTTAACATAATATGGTAAGTTCATCTCCACTGGGAAAAATACCTGTGGCAATTTACTCACATTGGTATTTATTCTTTTACAATATCAATAGGATAAAAATGTTAAACTAACTTAAGAAAACATGAAATGTTAGATTTAATTTTATGAAGGCTAGAATTAATGACTAGGTAATTGAATATTTCTGGAACCAGAGGAGATAAGCATATGCCTCAACATGGTGCCTTCATCACAAAACCCCCTCAAAAATTATAGATTTCCATAGCCAGTGTCTTTTCTATTCCCTGAAGTATTAAGGAAATTTCTTTGTCATGTTACAGTTCCATTCTCTGCTCTAGGGTAAGAATTTTTGTATCATAGAGTTTATATAGGTGTTTTAAATAATTTAAGGTTCCTCCTTTGCATTTGCCCTTGTGGAATGAATCTGATATTTTGTTTGTCCGTATTTCCAAGGAATGTATTTCTTCTTTATATTTTCAAAAGTTTATATTTATCAAATGAATCCAGTGTGTGCCCTTTTCTGGTCATAAAAGCATCTTGTTTCTTGTTTTAAACCTTACCTCTCTATTTTGCCCAGCAGAGGCTAACTTACTTTCTTTTCTTCCAGCTTAGGTGCTTTCATTTCCTATGAAATAGTGAAACATAATTTGAAAAATAACATGGACTACAACTGCAGTCTCATTCCCCTACGCTTCAAAAATATCCTGCAGTTAGTTTCTTTTTTCTAGAGGTTATTTTACTCAGTTTAAGCAAGAAAACCAATAGTTTTGATTCTGCATTCCAGGGTTTAATTGTCTTTCTGTTTACGGTTTGAACTTTTATAAATAAAACCTTGTTTTTTCCCCCAGTTTAGGGATTTGGGGATGACATCTTTTAATGTGATCTAGTTCAATCTTATAATGTTAAAAATGAGAAAATGAACTATATGAAGATGAAATTACCTACCTATAGTCATGCTTATGACCAGAAGTCACATATCATATTGTTCTTGTGCTGTATATGTGTGGTGTTAGATAAATGCAACTTTTGTTCTCACGTGTCACATCATCATCGAGGGAAAGAGTTGTTGGGTAGATTAGATTTTTGTTATCTTACATAGAGTCCTACACAATTGTTCCGGATCTCTTCTAACTTCATAACTTTCACTGATTTTGCTGTGGCTATTGGCCTTTTCTTTGCTCCTAAAGGTTATCATATTCCTTGCCATTTCAGAGGCTGGAAAATGCTGAATCTTTCTACCTAATCTATGAATCTTTGTGTTTCTAGCACCTCACACAGTACTAAATATAGAGCAGGAAATTAACAGATGCTTGATAAGTAAAATAATTTATAAATGGTTGAATAAATAAATGAATCTCATTAGACGATGAATGTTCATTGGTTCTCCAAGATACAAAGCATAAGGGAATGTCACCAGGAAGCTTAGCAGGACATCAGTGAGAGGTTGTGCTTGAACTAAGAATACCCCAGAAATTTATGCTTGGCTTAAATCTTACTTTGGAGGCCTAAAAGTGTGATCAGTATCTTTTATGTTAGTCTTTTTTATGAAACCTACAATTTTATTCTCCTAAATTGAGGGGTCCATAATTTCAGTTCTTCATATTAGTAACATGTGTAGTGGCCAGGCACAATGGCTCACGCCTGTAATCCCAACACTTTAGGATGCCGAGGCAGGAGGATCGCTTGAGCCCATGAGATTGAGACCAGCCTGGGCAACACAGAGAGACCTCATGCCTACCCAAAATTTTACAAACGAACACGGTGACACGTGCCTGTAGTCACAGCTACTCAGGAGGCTGAGGCAGTAAGATTGCTTGAACCTGGGATGTGGAGGCTGCAGTGAGCCATGATCATGCCACTGCACTCTAGCCTGGGCAACAGAACAAAAGCCTGTCAAAAAAAAAAAAAGAAAAGAAAGGAAAAAAAAAAAAAAAGGAAACGTAGAGTGATATCACCACATTCTTTCTGTGACTGACTTGACTCCTACAATTCTGACTGTTTTGTCTGATGAGTGAAAATATGTGGACTTCTTTTGATGTTTTGAAAATTAATAAATTCTTATTAAAGACATTTTAATAACAACAATAATTAGAACACGAAACAATGCACTCAATAATAATCTACCAAATAAACATTCCACTTAATCAGTCTTGATATGATTATATTTCAATATCAGCTATTTTCTGTACTTTCTCAGTGTATCGTGTGTTTATGTCACGTATCTAGTGGAAACAATGTACTGTAACTTGTATGTACCAGAGACTGTTGTTTTAAACTTTCAGCCTAAAGTTAAATGTACAACTTCTTTTATTTGGTTTATTTATTATCTTTTGAGTACTTCAAATGCAATGAGAAGTGTGGATACCGAAGTCAGCACTAGTCTGGTAGTCAAGAGACCTGAGGTTAGATATCAGCTCTGCTCTCAAGTAACTGTGTGACTGTGAACTTGAATATAACCATTTTAACACATGGGTATTGTGTTAAAATAATCTCTAACATTTCTTTTATGTTTAAATGTATGATTTTATGGAATGACAATGATCTATCACAGGAAATGGATACATTATGTAAGAGGAGAAACAGAAAAGATCAACTCAAATAAGTAGGGGTTGTCAATAAGCTTATTAGAGAATCTTGAGAGTTTCACAGTCTTACACAAAAACCCAGAGAGGCCGGGCGCGGTGGCTCACGCCTGTAATCCCAGCACTTCGGGAGTCCGAGGTGGACAGATCACGAGGTCAGGAGATCGAGACCATCCTGGCTAACACGGTGAAACCCTATCTTTACTAAAAATACAAAAAAAATTAGCCGGCGTGGTGGCAGGCACCTGTAATCCTGGCTATTCGGGAGGCTGAAGCAGGAGAATGGCTGAACCCGGGCGGCGGAGCTTGCAGTGAGCCGAGATCCTGCAGACTCCTCCGTCTAAAAAAAAAATAAAAAAAAAAAGGCAGAGACACAGACAGTGATCATAAGTAAGATCAATACTGGGGAATGTATACAGTGAATCCACAAGGAAAAAATCTTATTTATTCAAACCAGAGAACACACGCATATGTGTGCTTTGTGTTGAAAAAAAAAAAAAAAGAACAAAAGAAGCTGGGTCTACATATTTCAAAGGAAAGTAACTCAGGAACATGATAGGTGAGAAAATTTATTTGGTCCTCTCCTATCTCTTACCATATAAGGAACTACCTGCTGGGTTTACTAGGGAAATCTATTCAATTTTGTAGATTCTCACCACCATGGAATTGTCCTTAACGTTGGATGTGCAATAATATTATCCTTCTGGTAACAGTAATCGTACTGAATATTTTGGGTAAGTAATAGTAATATTATTTGTTCATCTCAAGGTATTATTTTTCTCATAACTTGTTGTAACTGTGTTTCCTATTTAAATGGTTCCTAAATAATATGGTACGACTTCACAAAAAGTGTAAAATTTGATACACAACTAAAATTAGAGATTTTCTATAGAATTTCACCATGTGATAAAATATATATTGTAAATTCATCTCAATGATAAAAGAGAAGAGATGCCAAGATTAGTTGTTTATTTTATGATCAAGATCATGCAGTGAATTTTCTAGTGCAGTCTGATATTGGGATATACACAGATGTCTCTGAAAGCATGTTCAGAAGAAAGCAAATTAAATTATGACTTGTATTTCTGTATATGCTTATTTATATTAACTACTCCTAAGTATCATCAATCTTGTGGCAACAGGTGAGAAATTTTTCTACAATAAATCAATTCAATTGAGCATTATAAATTTATACTAATGTACTTTGGACATAGCCAAATATAGCCCAATTATTCATATGGCAATTATTTTAATGTTTTATTGAATAAATGCTTGGGGAAAAGTTCTTTACAAATATCTACAGAACAGAGATAATATACAGATGATATACATTCCGAGTAATTCAGACTTCCAGATTAAACTAAACCCTAGAAAAGGTCAATGCAGTGTCTCTGTGACTGAATCTTAGAGAATTATGTTAGTAAGTTATTATTACTTACTTATTATCTACTTCTTTAGAACTAGAAGGGACTCCAGAAATCAGCAAAGTCTAGTTTAGACAGGCAGTCAAGCCCAGAGAGATAAGTGGTTTAACTACTTTAATGTAACTAGCCAATAGCCTAATTAGGGCTATAAAATGGGGGTAGGGGGAGCAAAAATAATTAGCATTAAAAATCCCTACTCTACTTCTTTTCATTATGTTAAGGTAATAGATTTTCTCGTTACTAAAATAGTTTTTTAGCAATATAGATTTTTTTTGCTACTAAAATTGATGTGTTACTAATAGATTTCAAAGACAAAACATCTTCTTAAAAAGTTTCTGTAGAAGGCAACATTGTTCATGGATATTCTAGAGACCCCGGACCTGTTTTCAAACCCCAGCTGCATCACTAATAAAATTATTGCATTGGATACACTATATTATGATGTATATATGTTGAAGGATTAAAAGTACTCTGTATCAACATAAGAATTAGAGATTATATATTTAATACATTAAATGAATTAAATATATTGTGAATATGGTATCTTGTGTTAATGCCTGGCAAATGCAAGCACTATTAAATATTTACTTTTATTACTTTCAGATATGTTTATGTGGTTTTAGATGGTCAATACTAATAACCTAATATACATTGTTGTG